AGGCACATCTTGGAAACTTCTGACATCACTTTGGGCACCTGCCATCTGACACGGGAGCTTTTGGACTTTTCTCATTGCACGGCAGACTCCTCTCTCCATCCCTGGGTGGGGATCTCTGAGTCAAAGAGCATTATCTGGCACAGAATAGGCACTCTTAGGAGGAAAGGGAATAGCTAAGACTCTCAAAAGTGATTTCTTTTGTCTCGTTCATGCAGGAATGTAAAATATGGAGCTAATAAACTTTATGTGATGCTGGTGCCTTTCAAGTCTTCAGGGCAAAACAGTTTTTTGGATGGAGGCTGCACTGCCTTAGAAACAGTGCAGATGGGTAGGCTTAAGCTGTTAGGTAATAAATGAAAAGGAAGACTTTATTGGCATATTAGCTCTCCTTTAGAAGAGGCAAATTAATGTCGGAAGGAGAAAAGGGCTGGTTATCAATAATAACTCTCATTCTTGAAATGCTTTGGCCTTTTTTCCATCCTATTTAGCCTTGATTTCTGAGAATCAATAGGTATGACGGAGTTACCACAAAATGTGAGGTAACATGCGATTCCACTCACAGGCGCTCTCACTACTGATGAGAAGAAAATGAAACAGCTTTATGGTCACATGGCTTGGCATGTAGTTCTAGAAGCAGCTCTGTGGAGCTTTCTGCAGAGAACAGGCAAGAGTGCTGGCAAGAAATCCTTTTTATTTTTAAATCCCATGGTCTGGTTGCCCATGTTTACATTGCTGCTACTGCTGTATGATGCAATGCCAGTTACTCATACAATTTGCCCTGTAAGGTAATTTAAATCAAATTAAATTGGCACCAAACTTAAACTTTAAAATAGAACATATTGATTTGTTCTGCATCTGAGAAGTGCTCTGTTGCTAGAAGGCAGAGCAGACCTGGGCCTGGGGAGACAGAGGCATGCTGGTATGAGGTAGAATTGAAAGCCAGGTTCTCCAGGACATGCTTGGTGTGTGGACTTTGCAGCTCAGACATTTACCACTGTTCTTTCTATGCTGAATTCAGCCTGCAAGCTAAGAACAAGTTTCCAGGACCTTTTTCAGGGAATGCAGTTATTCTTGAGTGAGATTAGGATTTCCAGAACCTGCGGATTTTTGTTGCTGGCTGTTCCTTATTCTGGCTTGTTACTTGTACAATCCTTTCTCGTTAAGGAGCTTCTTGCATTAATTTACTTCAGTTGCTGCTTAGTTTGAAAGGCCTGAGAAACTTGAAAGATGCACGCTGTCCTGTAGAAGGCATCCCCCTCCCACTGGGAGGTTGTTAATATTTTAAGAAGCAGTGAAAGGCATCCTTAGAGCCAACATGACTGGATTTCTTCCCTGCCTAAAGAATGCAGAACACTCCTGTCCAGCCAAAGGGAAATCGTGCCACACATATGAAACAAAACAAACCAAAACTTTATTTTCTTTATCTGAGGAACACTGAGGTTTTAGGAGCTCAAAGCTACAGATCTGACATTGCAGCCATGAGTAGGGTCTTTTGCAGTCACCAAGCAGGTTTTAATAAGTAGGCTGGTCAAGAGACAGAGGGATATAAAAAGCAGCCATGTTATTGCTTGTCTCCATAAAGTCCTTAGTCTTCCTTCTTAAAACTGAAAATAATGAATTAAAAGTGAAGAGATTGGAAATGAGTGAAGAAAAAAGATCCAAGTGGGCATACTGGTTCTTTAGAAGTTAACTGTTCTGGGCACTGTGTGAGAGGTGTTGATACCTTTTTTAAACCAACTGAATGAAGGAAATGGGAAAGGAGGCTTGGTTCTATAATCTGAGATTAAAAGATGATGCAAGTACAGGGTAAATATGGGCTAGATAAATTGTCAGTATCAATCATGAAGAGTCTTGCATGGTATGAACTCCCTTTTCTCTTAAAGTTTCTTGCAATGCATAAAGTTCCAGGCCTGTTTTGACTTGCTTTGTTTCCCTATTGCAAAAGTCAGCAATAGTATCTGCAATTCCCTCAACCTGGGGCAGGTACAGTGATGTTGGTGAAATGTAAACTCTGATGGCCCCAAGAAGGCAAAACTTGGGTTGAGCTCGTTTTACTGTCCTACATCTAGACATGGCTCTTGCATGGAGTTGCGAAAAGCTTTGCCCAATGAGTTTGCAGCCTACGAGAGAACACTGAAGCAATTTGAGGACCTAAGATGAACAACTTAAAATTCCTGTCAATTAAAAATCTGGAATTGAGTTGCTTTTTGTGGGTTCAACTGTGAGAAATGGACTTAAAGGCAGGCTTCATTGCAGGCAAATTCTCCACTGCAGTTGTGGGCAAGTTGGTCCATTCTGTGGCTCTCTTCCTGCTGGTTTCCAAGAGTCTTACCTCTAGAAAACATTAATGGCCTAGTTGTGCACCCAGTAGACTGATCAATTTGAATCAGTAATGAGCCATTAGTCTGAGTCACTAATTAGACTGAGCAGTAAAGGTTGAGCACTCTCCTCAGGCAAACCCAAGTGGAGGAAGGCTTGTGCTGATGTAAATAAATGAAACCGTTTGTACATGGAGACCTGGAACCTTTCTCTGCTGTTGGTAAGGAGTCAGGTGCAGCTGGCACTAATTCTGCTATCTGCTCATAGGGAGGGGACCACACTGCCTCCACAAGTGGTGAGTAAATCTCAGAAGACAGATAATATCTCGACCAAAACGTCAAGTTGAAATGTGATCAAAACCTGAGACTGGGACTTTAGTCTTTACTTTCTCTAGTTCTTTCTGGATTCAACCAGGTACTGATCAAATCTGAAACAAAGCTGTGTTACTACACAAACCAATCTTCAAGTACCTAATTATTCCTGCCTCTCCAAACTCAAATACTGAGAAAATGCTTTGTGATGTCTTTAGCAGCTT